GAGATGGTTGACGCCCGAAAGTGAGTGGGGTCCCCAACCAGGTCCTGGGAAGCAGCCAGGCCCTCTGGTGGGAGAGGCAGCCTCTCCGCTCAGCCCCACTGCCACCCGAGGCTCAGGCTGGTCCTCGGTGGCCCACGCCTGTTGCCCTGCAAAAATGGCCCTGGAAAGATAGCCAGGGGGCTTGCATTCTAGCCTGGCCCTGTTTTCTCTGGCTATGGACACGTCACAGCCCCTTGCAGGGCCTCAGAAAGGCTGAATATCATCATCCTGCTGTAAATAGATCCAGAGATTTGCATTTGGCCTAAAATTATGCATATGCACACAATATGGTCCCTACGAATGAAGCCAATGACTGCGTCTGATGCTCAGCCAGGGAGCTCGACAGTGAACCTTTGCAGCTGAACGAGCTGGGACTGGAGAGTTCCAGGAAGCCTCTGGGTCTATGGACTGGGCTCTGGGGCCATTTTGGGGAATTTTCCAGGCTGATTTTGGCTGTATGCAATTTTGTCTTTTTGCACAGACATCAGACCATGTCCTCAGGATGTGATGGGGCCCCTTCCCCATCTCCCATCCTACTAGCCTGTGTCCAGGTGGGGATGGGGCAGGGCAGACAGCAGGGTCCCCTTGTCTCGCGCAGCACTGCTGCCCCCTTTCCTGCCCCAACACCCCCAGCAGACACAAGAGATGGAGACTCTGAGCCTCTCCCGTGGCTGGGTCTCCGGGGTCCTGCACCCTCAGGAGGTGACGCTGACACGCTCCACTGCCTGTCCCCAGGAACCTACCTCGCGCCATCTTCATCTCCATCCCACTGGTGACCTTCGTGTACACCTTCACCAACATCGCCTACTTCACAGCCATGTCCCCCCAGGAGCTGCTCTCCTCCAATGCGGTGGCTGTGGTGAGTGGGCCCTTGCTCGGTCCCTGGCTCCTGCCCAGGCCCCTGCCCCGGCCTCACACACAGCCTCTCTCCTGTGCCCACCCAGACCTTCGGGGAGAAGCTGCTGGGCTACTTTTCTTGGGCCATGCCCGTCTCCGTGGCTCTGTCAACCTTCGGAGGGATCAACGGCTACCTGTTCACCTACTCCAGGTGACTGCACTGGGGAGACGTGGGCATGGGGAGGGAAGGTTGGGCACAGGTGTGCGCAAGTCATGCGGCGGGGGGAGGCCAGAGGAAGGGAAACCTGTCAGGGGCAGGGATCTGCCTGAAGCTGGGGTGATGATCCCACCAGTAACAAGTGTCTGATCACAACTGAGAGGCAAAGAAAGCAAGAGGGAGGCAGGTTGAACAAGGTGAAGAACTGCCTGGTGGGGCTGCTGGGCCCAGAGTGGGAGGTCAGAGGCAACAGCTTAAGAGGGACATCAGGTCCAGAGCTGAGACCCAGGAAGTGGCCGGTGCCCATCTCTGCCCCAACACTAGGCTATGCTTCTCTGGAGCCCGAGAGGGGCACCTGCCCAGCCTGCTGGCCATGATCCACGTCAGACACTGCACCCCCATCCCCGCCCTCCTCGTCTGTGTAAGTTGGGGGACCTGGGCCAGGCAGGGTGTGGAGGCAGGGCTACCCGGCAATGCAGGACCTTCCGGGTAATGGCGGGGTGAGCCATTCCGGGGTGGGGGTGTGGGGTGGGGCCAGGGCTCATCCTGTAGGGGCGACAGGAGGCAGGCTAGGGGCCAGCCGTCAGCCCCAGGTCCTCTCCCAGTGCGGGGCCACAGCCATCATCATGCTCGTGGGCGACACGTACACGCTCATCAACTACGTGTCCTTCATCAACTACCTCTGCTACGGCGTCACCATCCTGGGCCTGCTGCTGCTGCGCTGGAGGCGGCCTGCGCTCCACAGGCCCATCAAGGTGAGGCCCTGGGATGGCTGGCCCCCATGCTGGGTGCTGCCAGAGCCACCCCTGTATCCACAGTGGGCACCAGAGGCAGGTGGGATGGGAGGTGCCAGCTTTTGTGGAGTGTTGGGCCCTGCTCAGGGCTCTCTGTGCACTGAGGCATCCACTCCTCATAGCAGCCCCATGAGGACAGAGCTGTGAATGCTCCCAGTGTACAGATGGGGAAAATGAGGCTCAGGACTGGGTGCAGGGGCTCATGCCTATCCCAGCACTTTGGGAGGCCGAGGTGGGAGGATTGCTGGAGCCCAGGAGTTTCAGACCGACCTGGGCAACATAGCGAGACCTCCTCTCTGCAAAAAATTAAAAATAAAAGGATTAGCCTGGTGTGGTGGTGCGCACCTGTGGTCCCAGCTACTTGGGAGGCTCAAGTGGGAGGATTGCTTGAGCCCGGGAGGTCGAGGCTGCAGTGAGCGGTACTAGGGCCACTGCACTCCAACCTGGGTGACAGAGGGAGACCCTGTCTCTAAAAAAATAAATAAATAAAAATTAAAGAAAATGAGACGGGAACTGTTCAAGGTCACAAAGGCTGCCAGGATTCCATGGGCCCACAGAAAAACAGAAGACCATAGCCTGAGCTAAAAGCAAAGCCCCCCAGTGTGTGTATAAATCCTTATATGGAGAAGTGCTCGGTGCCTGAAATGTGAAACACCAAAAAACCACCGACCTCCGGCCAAGTGCAAGCGTCAAGTCCACACACAACTGCCGTGTGGAACTCGGTGCCGCTGAGACTTTGAAAAATCCTCAGCAAAACTGGCCAACAGCCTGACGCATGAATTGGCCTCAAACACACTGGGCTGTCGCCAAGAGGAGGGGTAGGTGGGTGCAATTGCTGTTCAGGCCTCAGCTCCCAGGGAAGGGAGGAAAACTCCCCAGACCCTCAGGGGTCAGGGGTACAGACAGCTGGGGGTCCTGCACCATCGGTGTTTCTGCTCCCCCTTCCCCAGGTGAACCTTCTCATCCCCGTGGCATACTTGGTCTTCTGGGCCTTCCTGCTGGTCTTCAGCTTCATCTCCGAGCCTATGGTCTGTGGGGTCGGCATCATCATCATTCTTACGGGGGTGCCCATTTTCTTTCTGGGAGTGTTCTGGAGAAGCAAACCAAAGTGTGTGCACAGACTCACAGGTGAGCCGGGCAGCCGCAGGTCACCCGGCACAGAGGGCCGGGGCCTGGAAACGGGACCTCCTTCTTAGAGGCTCACCCCAGAGCAGGGTGTCCTAGCAGCTGAGGTGGGAACACAGGGCCCAGCTGCCGCCACGTCTCTTCCCAAGATGTACCCAAAGTTTCCAGAACCATGTGTACCGACGGAGCAGCTCCCTGAAGACCCCTGCCCAAGGGGAGGTGTCCGGAGCTGGGGGTCACCCCTATCCCGAGAGGTCAGGCCTCAAGGTCCATCTGTCTGTCCTCAGAGTCCATGACACGCTGGGGCCAGGAGCTGTGTTTCGTGGTCTACCCCCAGGATGCCCCTGAAGAGGAGGAGAATAGCCCCTGCCCACCCTCCCTGCTGGCTGCCACAGACAAGCCCTTGAAGCCACAATGAGATGTTTGTAGAGACTGAAGCAGCTGTTTCTGTTTACATGTTGTTTATTGAGGAGGCGTTTTGGCAAAAAAGTTTTTGTTTTTGTTTTTGTTTTCTGGGGAAAAAAAAAAAAAAAGAGGCCGGGCACGGTGGCTCAAGCTTGTAATCCCAGCACTTTGGGAGGCCGAGACGGGTGGATCACGAGGTCAGGAGATCGAGACCATCCTGGCTAACACGGTGAAACCCCGTCTCTACTAAAAAATACAAAAAACTAGCCGGGCGAGATGGCTGGTGCCTGTAGTCCCAGCTACTCGGGAGGCTGAGGCAGGAGAATGGCGTGAACCCGGGAGGCGGAGCTTGCAGTGAGCCGAGATCTGGCCACTGCACTCCAGCCTGGGCGACAGAGCGAGACTCTGCCTCAAAAAAAAAAAAAAAAAAAAAAAAAAAAAAAGATACGACTCTTAGAAGCCTGTTTTAAGGAAACCCTGAAATGTGGACTGGGTTTCCTGTCTTAGCGCTGCCCTGCTAGCTTTTCCTGAAAAAGCCTATAAATAAACAGGGCTGGCTGTTCGCTCGTGCTATGGGGAGTCCATGATGGGCACAGATGGGAGTGGTCGGGGCGTACCTCGGTGGGTGCACACATGTTGCTGGCCGGGAAGACGCTGTGACAGGCCCTGAAGGAGACTCTCGACATTAGGGGGCTTTGCTGCTTGACACAGGCACTCCCTACCATGGCACCCAGAGTCCCCCGGCCCTAAAAGGACATCGAGGGGAGCAGCTCAGTCCGCCCCTCCCCCAGGCCCCTCGATGCCAGTCTGAGCTTGGCCACCCAGGAGAGCTCAGGGGCTCCCAGCTGGGATCGTCTTTCTTCTCATAAACCACCACAGAGTGAAGGTCAGGACTTCAGAGCCCACAGTCTCACCCTGGCTTACAGGTGGGGAAACTGAGGCCCTGAGCTAGGATGGAACAGATGTGGCCACTGCTGTTGGTGTCTTGGCTTCTTTGTCCCCAGAAAGCACAGAGCAGCATGTCCTGGGGGCTTTGAGGCCTGCAGGGAACTCCAGGGGCTTCCTGTATGCCAGGTATACACCCCAGCCCCGCCACAGTGCCCAGGAGATTGGACCCTCAAGGAAGGCAAAGGGCACCTGCCTGGTCAGGGGCCTGAGGGCTTGGCAGGAGCTGCCCAACCCAGGTCCTCCAGGGGCCTTGCTGGACAGGAAGAGGGTGAGGCATGGGCAGAACACTCACCACGGATGAGACCCAGCATCCCCATGGCCCAGCCCCATCCTCATGACAACTCCCAGCTCTACGGGCAGCTGGTGCCACTGCAGGGCAGATGAAGCAAAAAAGCTCTGGTCCTCTGCTTCTTTGGAAATCGGTTCCCAGAATGAAGTGGGGGCAGAGAAGTGAGACCCCAGGGTGCTTGTGTACGCTGGGATCCTGCAGACGGGCTCACCGCTCCCCCCTTCTCCCCCACTGTTCAGTCCCAGAGCTCCCGCCCACCATGCCCACCAGTGCAGCCAGCTGGCTGAGGGCCCAGCCCCTCCGCTGGGGTCCCCGGAGGGCCTCTCCATAAGAAAGGACGCAGAGGCAGGGTAGAAATGACTGTGTATTCCCTGGTTACAAAGCGGGGCTGTGGCGGTCACCAGCGAACCCGGCAGTCAACAGACCAACAGGGCCTCATCATCGCTGGCCTCCAGCATTGGGGAGCAAGGGGGCGGGGGGCTCCTGCAGACCCCCAGTGGCTCTGGCGAGTGGGGGCCCAGGGTGCTGCTGGCAGTGGAGGCCTGGGGGTGCGGGTCCTGGGCTGAGCAGGGCTCCCGAGGTGCATCCGCAGGAGCTGGACCGTCTGCCAGTGGCTCCCTGCAGACCTTTCTGTCCTTGTCCACAGGCCTGCACTCTGGGTCTCGCAGGCCTGACGGCAAGGGTGGCCCTGAAGGTCCCACCTCCGGTGCATGGCTGGGGGCACTGGGGGGCCCATCTCCGGCCACCCTGGGGCTGCCTGTGTCCGTAAGCGGTGCTGGGGGGTCGGGGGCAGCCCCTGGAGCAGGCTGGAGGAACCCATCACCCAGCACGGTCTGTGAGGGGCGTGCTGCAGTCAGCAGTGGGATCTGGCCTCGGGGCACCCGCGGCCGGTGAAAGAGCCGGTTCCAGAGGCGGCCGAGGCGGCGGCGGGAGGGCCCCCGGCGGGAAGCGTGCCGACGCATCTGTCTCCGCATGGCTGTGCGAAGATTCTGCAGCACAGAGGCCTGTGGGGTGGGGTGGGGTGGGGTGGGGTGGGGTGGGGCGGGGTGGGGCGGGGTGGGGTGGGGTGGGGCGGGGTGGGGCAGGGTGGGGGCAGGGGGATGCGGCTGAGGGGGCGGCCAGGCTGCTCAGGGGCAGGAGTCAGCACACCCCCAAGGGACCTGAGACCCAAGAGACCACCTTGTCCATCCTCCTACCTGGCCATGGGCCCCCAGGTCACCCTGTCCAGGCCTTGCCTCCCACTCCTGTGACCGCTGGACCAGCCTTCTCCACACACTGTCCCACCTGGCCCCAGAGGGGCCTCGCGCCCTCCAGGGGCTCACCTGGGAGGCACTGTAGACAGGAAAGTCCTCCACGGGTGGAATGAGGCCCTGCGCGATGAGCTGACCATAGGACGGAGGTGCCTCCCGCCGCACGAACTCAGCCTCCAGGCGCGTCATCTGGGTCTCGAAGGCCCTGGAAGCGGTGGGCAGAGGGCGACATGGCTGGGCTGCCCGGGACCTGCAGCAGCAACAGGATTCCGGGTCCACCCTCCACCCAGACATCCCAAAATGTAGGGACCCCAGTGTGCACAGGGCAGCCTCCAGGTAGCTGGTCCAGGCCCCCATCTGCAAACCCACAGCCGTGGGGACAGCAAGCCTGGGCGATGAAGAAGCCCGGTCCCCTGGCTGTGGGCACAGCGCCCACCTGTACTCCTGCGTGCGCAGTGAGTAGAGCTTGAAGGCGCAGCCCAGCGCGATGACCAGCAGCAGGCCGCACACCAGGCTGCCGATGAGCGCCGCGGTGATGACCTTGCGGGGCACGGCGGCCAGGCACCCGTGCTCATCGCTGCCGTCCTGGCAGTCTTCCTGGCCGTCACAGCGCCACGTCTCGAAGATGCACAGGTTAGTACCACAGTGGAAGGTGCCGGGCTGGCAGGAGAAGCAGTTCTTCTCGTCTGCGCCGTCGGGGCAGCTTTTCTGGTTGTTGCAACGGTCGGCAGGCGTGTAGCACAGACCACTGCCACCCTCGCAGGGGTACTGATCGGGCGGGCAGGCAGGGCAACCCTGCTCGTCTCGGCCGCTGGCGCAATGCCACCAGCCGTCGCAGCGCTGTGGTTCCGAGAAGCAGCCCTGGTCGCCCGCGCTGCCCCCATCACTGTCACTGCTGCTCCCGCACGGCTGCTCCCAGGGAAGGCAATAGCCCTTCACCTGATAGGTGGCGTTGAAGCCGTGGCCGGCGCTGCGGGCGCGCGCATGGTACGCCACGGTGAGGCGGCCCTGGGCGGCCTCCAGGCTCACGGGCCGGTGGTTGCTGCGGTAGGACAGCGTCTGCAGCAGGCGGTCCCCGCGCTCACCCAGGCCCTCGTATACCTGCACGTAGTCGTCGTAGCCCAGCCGCAGTTCCAGCTGCAGCAGCACCCGCCGCGAGTCCTGCGTGTCCACCAGCCATGTGCAGTGAAGGTCCGAGGGCCCACGGGCCGCGCCGAACAGGTCTGGGGAGGCAAAGGAGCCGTAGAAGCTGCCCAGCCGCCTGCCGCACGCCAGGTCGGGGCAGCCCGCCTCATCCGAGCCATCGCCGCAGTCCTGCAAGCCGTCACAGCGCCGCTCCACAGGCAGGCAGCGCGTGGAGCGCGCCCCGCTGCAGGGAAAGGTCCCCCCGGGACACAGGCTGCCTGGAGGCTCCGAGGCGGGCGCCGAGCAGTTGCCCTCATCAGAGCCGTCTCCACACTCATCCACTGCGTTGCACTGCCACGGGCCGGGCAGGCACTTGCCATTGTCACAGCGGAACTCATCTGCCTGGCAGGACGCCTGGCCCAGCTTCCCTGTGGGGTGGAGAGGTAGCAGGGGACAGTCAGGAGACAGAAGAGCCTCCCTTTGGCCAGGGGGCCTGGGGCCAAAAGTGGGCAGGTGGTTCCCCATCACCGTGGAAGCAGAGACCCCTCCAACACCAGGGTGGGCTCAGTCCCTGACCTGAGTCTGGGGTTAGGGGTGAGTTCCCACAACTCGCCAAGACCGGGAAGTGGGGCCAGTGACCTTGAGAGGTCCGAGGCATCCACATGCCCAGTCCTGCCACTGTCCTGAGATTGACAGGGTGGTCAGGGGACATCCTGCAGGGAGCCGGAGCCCTGTGGAGGGTGCTGCCCCTGTGGGCCGGGAGCCTTTCGGCATGCACGGTGTGCTCTGTGGTGTCCTGCCTGCCCTGCGGCCGCTATCACCTCGGATGTAAGACAGACGGAAGCCCTGGGCCTGGCCGGAGCTGGAGGCGTCTGAGTGGAAGAAAATCCAGACGTGGTCTCGGGCAGAGATGAAGGCAGGCGGGATGGCAGAGCCACAGAGGCGGAAGGCCTCCTGGCGGGGCGGGGCCGCTGGGCCCAGCAGGAGCCAGTCCAGGGAGCACTGGTGGGACTCCTCCACGTCAAAGTTGCGGAAGCTGCAGGGAGGCGGAGAGGACCCAGACATGAGGCCGTAGGCAGGACCTCCATGGCCGAGGACCAGCAGAGAGTGGTCAGGCTGGAGCCACGGCCAGGACAGCCAGCCCCGTCCCAGCCGGCCGCCCCCACTCCTCGTGTTCCAGATTGCCTGGTTCCTCCACTCCCAGCCACTCTGTCCCCACACTGTCCCCATCCAGGTGTGCACGGGAGGCTCCATGAAGAATTGCGATGTCCATACAGGTCATTTCCAGCTCTGCTGCGGCTGCCCTTCCCTCCATCAGTGCACATGACACCCCCAGCCTGAAGCCGAAGTGCAGCAGGAAGTCAAGAGCCCCCCGCCCTGACACCCTCCCCAAAAGGGCAGAGGCCCAAGGGCCCAGACCCCTCCACCTCGGGACCACTAGGATGGGCCCAGCACAAAGTCCTAGGCAGGGGCAGTGAGGGTGAGACTGTGCCCATGAGGCTGGCCGAGGCTGCAGCAGGTTGACAGCTTGTCATCTCCAGAGATACATTGGCCCTGAACCCCCTGGCCCTTGGGGAAACTGAGGCACAGAGACTAGGACAGACCCTGCCCATGCCCATCACATCCTCATGCATTGCAGCTATGGAGTAAGTCGGGGGTTGCACCTTTTGGGCTCTGGCATTTGGGAAAACTATGGCAGATGGAACCTATAGTGACTCCCCAGCCAAATGTCCCCATGACCACTCCTGACCAGGACCACCGCTCGCTGCCTGGCCCCCTTTCCTTCTGCATGTCCCTGCAGCTCGAGCACCCGGGCTTTGCCTGATTCACTCCCCTCCCCAAGGCCCCCTGTGGAAACCATGCTCTGGGCTCAGTGCCAGCCTGGCCCCCAGCCACCCCTGCAGGACAGAGAGGACACCTCTGCCACCTCAGAGACATCAGACCATGCCCACTAGTCCCAGGCTGTGCTCCCAGTGGCATGTGTGCTGGGGGCCTGCCTTCCTGGCAGGGCTGAGTGACTGAGACCCCCCACACCCCATGAACGAGGCTCAAACCAGGAAAAAGTCCAGCTTGGGCACCTCGCCACAGAGGCCCGTGGAGACCCAGGGCACTGGACACATTTGTGTGCATGCTTTCACATGTACACATGCATGCTTACGGCTCACGCATGGTTACACCCGTTATCTTACATGCATGCACACATACACGCGCTCTGCACCTGTGCAGGCATGGCTCGTGCGCATACATGTGCTCACACGTGCACTCTCTCACGTGTCCTTTATGTCTCCCCCGACATGGGCTTGTACACGTACACAAGCACACGTGCGTTCACATACATGCACAGACACGCACTCACATATGCACACACACCTACTTACCTGTGCTCACATGCATGCACATGCCACACACCTCAAATACCTACACATGCCTGTCTCACACATGCACACATCTGCATGCACACACACCTACTCATAAATGCTCACACACATGCAAACACCCACACACCTGTTCACACCTGCTCACACATGAGCGCTCACACACACCTCACACATATGCTCACACACATGCACATGATCCCACACCTGCTCACACACACGTACACCCTCAGGCGTGTGCCCTCCACACCTGCTCTCACACACACACATTCTCACTCACCCCACGCGTGTGGGTCCACATCGATTCCTTCCGACACCCCCGGGCGCCCCTACCTGATGGTAATCATGTCACCACGGTCGCCCTGGATGTACCAGCTGCAGTTGGTGCCTGGCGGGTAGTTGAGGGGCCAGGCCGGGCTGTAGATGACCCCACGCCGCTCCGTGTGCTGCTCCAGCTTCCCACTGCAGGCTGCTGTCGGGAGAGGAGGCCGAGAAAGGCCGGCCCATCTTTGGTTGGGAAGCGGGTTGCAGCGGGGGGTAGGGGCTTCAGCACAGCCCTGCCCCATGGTGGGATCTAGCCCAGCCAAGGGTGGCCATGGCCAAGGGCAAGGCCACGACTTGTCACTTCACGGAGGTGGTGTGTACGGGAGGCCAAGTAGGGCCCCCTAGACTTGGGGCAGCTATAGCCTCCAACCCTACGCAGTGAACTAGAGCCTAGGTCCTGTCCCCCGCACCTCTGGCAGAGCTAGGAGGAAACCCACCAACAGCCCCTCCTGGCAGCCGGCACCTCCAAGGTGTAGCCTCGTGGCCTCGGCTCAGTGCAGAATTCCACACCACTAGGCCTGCCCGGCCGGCATAGCCCATCCTGCGACAGCCCCCTGCCTGCCCTCCCTGGCGCTTTGCTCACTCAACATGTATTTACTGAGCACCTACTATGTGCCAAGCATGCATGGTAGGCACGCTGAGTAAGGCGGGACTAAGGCCTGCTCTACGGAACTCACAGGCTGGGGGTGGGAGCAGATGGACTTTACACAGATCCCCTGGGTAGAATGAAAATCCTACAACAGGCCTGAAGAGAGGTGGCAAAGTCCAGCTGTGGCTGGAAACACCACCTGGGTCTGATCACACCCTGTGCAGAATTTGGGTTTCATCCTGAGTACAAGTGAGAAGCCACCAAAGGTAGATTTCGGAACCAGGTGAGGAAACAGGCTCAGAGAGGGTCGGCGACTTGCCCGGGGCCACACAGCTAGGGAGGGCAGAGTCAGGAATCACTGTAGTCCTCTGGGGGCCTCAGCTTCTCACTACAGCACTGAGCCAACATGCATTCATGGAGTGCCAACTGTATACTGCTCAGGTTGAGCAAAGAGCATCACACCTGCCAGCTCAAAGGAGGAGCCCTCCATGCCCAGCCCCACGGGCCTCGCTTTAATCCATCCATTCTCCATGCTGTCTGCTTCTAAACCATCCAGGGCAGCATGGTGAGCCTGCCCTGCCCTGCTGTGCCCTGGCCCTCCCAGGACCGGGCAGCTGGTCCCTGCACTTGACCACACCCCCAACCCCACAGCCCCCTGACCCTTCCCTGTACTGGTCCATCTGATTCTCACAACAGCCTGAGATGAAGGCAGGGCCCATTTTACAGATGGAGAAACTGAGGCTCGGAAAGGCGAGGGACGACGCTTTTCCCAAGCCCAGTGACACTCTTTTCACTTTTCCATGGCTGGCCCCTGGCACCGTGACCTTGCAAGCCGAGTTCTCACTGGTTCTCAGCAAGACCCTCTGGGACCCAGCTGCGGGACAGGGAGGAGAGCCCCCTGGCTGCCTCCCATGCTCTTAGCACAAAACCACAATTCACTGCAGCAGCGCCAGCCCCTCCCTGCCCCACACTCTGCCTTATCCCTCCCGTCACCCCTAGCCCCCCGGACCTCTCCGATCTCTCACATTGGAGGGAACCTTGCTCTGGAGGCCCTGGTGGTCCCTAGTGGGTGCTATCCCCACCTTCTTATGCCATTCACGGACTCCTCAGCTTCCACCCCCAGCTCCATGGTCCCTTCCCAGGGAAGCCCTCCAGGCTGCCTCCCGCAGAGCTCCAGCCCTCCACCCCTCCCCCCAGCCTCGGCCACAGAGCATTTCCCTTTTGCTGTTGGGACTGACCGGATGAACATCACACAGGCAAGCAGGGCCGTGCCGTGTCCCAGGACTCTGTGCAGTGCCTGACGCATGGCAGGTGCTCCACAGATGTGGGTCCCTGAGTGGACGGGTCCATCTGAGGACCTGCTGGGCAGCTGCAGCCATGAGCTGAGAGCTGAAGCCCCTTCCCCCAGGGGCCTACTGGGACCATGAAGGCCCAGGTGATCTGGGACTGTGACTACTAGGGAGCTGGTAACCCCCATGAACAGCTCGTGAGAACAACAAGGATAAGAACAGAACTTTTGGTCCTAAAGCAAGGCCGGCCACCACCACGTCACCATCAGACCCTTGACAGTCCCGGGTCAGTGAGGTGCAAGTCAGCGCCTCTCCACCTGAAACTCACACATGGCCCTGGGAGGCAGCCCCCACAACCAGCCTCCGATCCTGCCCCAGAAATAGGGCGCTGTACACCCTGCTCCCAGCCCGAGAGGGCAGGAGATAAACTATCAGAGAGGGGTCTCGGGGTGCAGCCACCCAAACATGCAAAGTGGCCCCAGCCCCAGCCTGGTTCCCTCTGCTGGGTGAGGCCACTGGCCATGAGGACCTCACAGAGCCCTGAGGTCTGAACTGGGATTCCTTGGGAGGTGTAGGGTTAAGAAATCCAAAAGAGGCCGGGTGCAGTGGCTCATGCCTGTCGGCTCAGCACTTTCAGAGGCCGAGGCGGGGGGATCATTTGAGGTCAGGAGTTTGAGATCAGCCTGACCAACATGGGAAAACCCCGTCTCTACTAAAAGTACAAAAATCAGCCAGGCGTGGTAGTGGGCGTCTGTGACTCGGGAGGCTGAGGCAGGAGAATCGCTTGAACCCAGGAGGTGGAGAGTGCGGTGAACCATGATCATATCACTGCAGTCCAGCCTGGGTGACAGAGCAAGACTTTTTCTCCAAAAAAAAAAAAGAAGAAGGAAATCCAAAAGAAGAGATCTTTCCTGCTGGAGGGGTCCGAAAAGAAGGTTCCACAAAAGGGAAGGCCCAGTGAGGCTGGGGTGGTAACGTCCCCCACATTGCATCTCTAAAGCACATGCTAAGCTGAGGTGTCAGCCTCTGAGTCAGCACGGCTGGGAACCTCCCATGTTCACCTTTTTGCCGAGGGGTAAAAACCTATGAGGTGCCCTGTCCTCCATAGGGGCAGGACAAGGCACTGTCCATTCCTACCCAGCCCTGGAGGCCTTCCCCAGGGGATAGACATAGACCTGCCCCTCTCCTCGGGGCCCTTGGGGGCCAGGTGTCTCACCCACACTTTCTAGGAAAAGCCAGGTGTCACCTGCCACCTTTCTCTCTTCCCACTCACCTAGGCCAGAACCCTTCTCCCTCATACACCTATGTCTGGCCCCTTCATCAGGGGTTGGGAGGCCACCAGCCACATCAGGAGCAGAGGAAGGGGCAACTGCCAGCCGCTCTGCCTCTCAGCAAAGCCCTGGCAATGGGTGCCTCCAACCAGCCTCACTCCTGGGGGCTCCCCGGAAATTTCCACATCAGAGCAACTAGGTTAAACTGTGTGCTCTTCTCCAAAGTGGGTTGGCGGACACCACGCTGGGGGCAGCAGCAGCCCAGCCTCATGCAGAGGGGATGCGGGACCAGAGGGAGGCTGGGCTCTGTGCAGGGAGCTGCGAGTTCTAGGCAGGGACTCTTTTTTTTTTTTTTTTTTTTTTTTTTCCCTGAGACAAGGTCTAGCTCTGTCTCCCAGGCTGCAGTGCCGTGGTGCGATCACAGCTTACTGCAGCCTCAACTTCCAGGCTCAAGGGATCCTCCCACCTCAGCCTCCCAAAGTGCTCACACTACAGGTGTGCCCCACCGTGCCCAGCCTAGGCAAGGACCCTGCTTGACCTGAGGCAGATGTGCATGTGGTGGGGGACTGGGGTCAGGGGCTGCCAGTGAGGAGGGGGTCTCCAGGAATGCCCCATGGAGGTGAGGTTCATGATGGGCTGTGTAGCAGTGGGCAGGCAGTGAGGGCAGATGGGAGGACTGCATGATTTGCGGGATAATGGGGAAGAGGGAGGGGTTTGGGGGTGTTGGGGGCAGCCGAGAGGTCTGTCTGAGCTTCAGCTGGTGGTGACCTGCCTTCTCTCAGGCACAAGATGGCCTGGGCCCTGGGAGCCATGGTGGCCCACACAAGTAGGGAAGGAATGACCGGGCACTTTTAGGCCAGTGTCCTTTCCTGGTCCAAAGAGTCATCAAATATTCCTGAGAGGACACTGCAAGGCCTGAGGAAGCACAATTTGCAGATCCAATTTCCAAAGTTGATCAATACCCCCGCCAACCTGCCTGGTGCAACCCGACGACGGGGAGCTGGGAGTCCCACCCCAGACGTGCCGGGGAAGCTGCCAGCTGCCTGCAAACTGCATGAAGCCCGTGCCCAGGCTCTCCCCACTGGGGCCACAGTAGCTTCAGGGCTGAGCCCAGAGGCCGGTGGGATGCAGGAGGTGTTCTGACCAGTCAGAGCCCCACATACCTACGCTTAGGATGGGGTTTGCTGGGGGGTAAAAAACCTGTGAGGTCCCCAGACAGCCCTACCAGACCCTCTGGAGCACCTGAGCCTAGTGAGGGTGGAGAAGGGGCTGGGGGAAGGGTTCCCAATCCAGGGTCCCATGCAACAGGAATCCCAGGGAAAGCCATGGAAATGCAGGGTCACGGAGCCATGCTGGGAGGGGGGTACCTTGGGCCACCTGCAGCTGGTCAGTAAGGCTGGAGGTGTCAGAGGTGGACTCTAGGACAGCGAGGATCCCAGACCACCACCCATGGCCTTGCGCACTGGGTGTGCAGCTCCCATCACAGAGGGCACCAGGGGCTGCAACGAGGACCCTGTTGGGACCTGAGGTCTTGACAGCTAAGGACCTGGACAGTGTTCTCTTCGCCCAAGCTCCATGAGTGGCCCTAGTCCTCAGGGAAGCACTTTTCTAAACGGGGGGTATATGCGCATTTGGGGTAACACACCCACCAGCAGGAGGGTGCCCTGGGGGTTCACATTCATAAGCTGTGACAGCCTCATTCCCCCTTCCCCGGACTCTCTACCATGGCCACAGACATCTGACCCAGGCCGGGCCAGTAAGCCTTTTCCTGGAAATTGGGATGGGAGACTGGGCCACCATCAGTTGTGGGGACCAGGACAGCAGACAGGGCTGGGGCTAGGTCAGCACTGAGCGAGGCCTGGCCCTCGGCCAGCCCGAAGCAGCAGAGGAGGCTGGGCTCCCGAGAGCACAACTCAGGGCAAAGAGAGAGGGAAAGAGGCCTGAGCCTGCCAGAGGAGCCAGTGAGCACAGCTTCTGTGCACCCTGGGCCTTCCCCTCAACCACAGCCAGCAGCAGGGGTCCCGCTGCCTGACAGCTCCAGGTCCTTTCTCCAGCAAGCCAGGCCCTGTGCAGAACTAGCAACCCAGGCACCTCCTGCCCCACCAAGCAGAACAGCAGGCAACGAACAAGTCAGAGGCCCCCATTGTTCTCCCTGGCTGCACCTTGACCTCAGGTTTTGGTTTTTGTTTTACAGACAGGGTCTCGCTCTGTCACCCAGGCTGGAGTACAGTAGAGCCGTCATAGCCCACTACAATCTCAAACTCCTGGGCTCAAGCAATCATCCTGCCTCAGTCTCCCGAGTAGCTAAGACTACAGGCACATGCCAACGTGCCCAGCTAATTTTCAGAATTTTTTGGAGAGATGGAGTCTCACTATGTTGCTCAGGCTGGTCTCAAACTCCAGGGCTCAAGCATTCTCTTGCCTTAGCCTCTCAAAGTGCTGGGGTTACAGGTGTGAGCCACCACACCCAACCAGACTTAACATTTTTATGGAAATACTTATGCTTACTTTAATACCTTTTTAGGGGTTGCTGGAAATGGCAGTATATAGGCAGAATTAGCAAGAGATGCAGAGGTCTATGGGGGCTTGTCAATGATAGAACAGGCTCCCTCAGGCTCCCCTCAGACTCTCCAGGTGGCACTGAGGGCCCGGGGGGCCTGGGCTTATCCACTTGCCAACCAGCGGCCCCTTACCTCCAGTAGTGAAGGATGGATGGGCTTGGCCGCCCCTCTAGGGCGGAGCTTAAAGACAGCCAGCGGCTGGACAGACCCATGCCAACAGGTAGAGGCGGGGGCAGCGTGCTCACTGTGTCCTCTGGGATTCTGTATGTACTTTTGGCCAAAATGTTTACCTCTCTCTTGCAAGTCAGCTGCCTGAAACTCACTTTTCACGTGCAGCTGATGCAAGGCCACGTCCTCTACCCACCTTCTTACCTTACCTCCCACACCAAGCCAGTATCTTCCCTGCCCTGAAGCACCCCCAGACCAGCTACCAGGCAACCAGTGGGCACCCCCATAGCCCAAGCCCAGCAGAATGACTCAATCCAGCCAATCCTAAACTGTTTGCCCTGCCTTTTCTGTTTTTTAGAGACAGAGTCTTGCTCTGTTGCCCAGGCTGGAATACAGTGGTGCAATCTCAGCTAGTTCACTGCAACTTCCGCCTCCCAGGTTCAAGCGATTCTCCTGCTTCAGCCTCCCGAGTAGATGGGATTATAGCTATCTTTCAGTAGAGGTGGAGTTTCGCCATGATAGCCAGGCTGGTCTTGAACTCCTAAGCTCACTCAATCCACCCACCTCCCAAAGTACTGGGATTACAGGCGTGAGCCACAGCGCCTGGCTGCCGCGTCTTTCCCACGAAGCTGTGATGCCAGCTCTAACTTACACCTTTCTTCCCCCCTTGCTCCTGCTTGTCCAAACCTAGTAATTCCCAGGTGGCCCTGCATGGCGTGGCATGTCCCCTCCTCTCAAGAAAATAAATAAAGTGTTCTTTCCATGGCATGGGCCTCTCTGTGTCATCCCTCAGTCATACCCCTATAAATTAAACCCTAGGAAGCCCACAGCCTGCATGAAGCACAAGATGTCAATTCCACGGGACCCTCGGCAGCTTGCCAGTGGTATAAAGTCACCATGTGCCAGGCACTGCACTAAGAGCTTGCCTCACTGGCTCACGGCATACTAGGAGCCAAGTTTTCAGTAGACCTTGTTATTTCACCCACTTTACAGATGAGGGAACTGAGGCCCAGAGAAGTTGAAGCCTGCCCAAAGCCAAACAGCTCCTTTGTGATGTAGAAAAGATGCACACAGGAACTCGGGGTGGAGCCAGGACCCTGAAGGCCTGTCCTCAGGGCCCACTCACCCAAAAGGGCCCGGAGGAATGGAGGAAGGAGAGAAAGTGCTTACTTACCTAAGGCAGGAACTGCACTGCTGAGCCTCCCGGTGAGGAAGATGTTCACTGTGGGAGACACAAAGAAAGGGTCAGGGGTCTCAGGTGCCTGCTGGGGACCAGCAGCAGTCCATGAGGGACACCACAGGTAAACCCAAGGCTGGCCCGCTGGTCCCCTTCCTCTTATAGGGAAAGGCCCAGAGCGTAGCCCAAGACCGCCCATCAAGAGGGCCCCTACCCACCTCAACCCCACCTCCCTGCCTTCCCTGCTCTGTTTTCCAGGCTGGAGTGCATAGCTCACTGCAGCTTCAAACTCCTGGGCTCAAGCAATCCTCCCACCTGAGCCTCCCAAGTAGCTGGAACTACAGGTGTGCACCACTATGCCTGGTTTTTTGTTTGTTTGTTTGTTTGTTTGTTTTTGTAGAGATGAGGTATCACTGTGTTGCTCAGGCTGGTCTCAAACTCCTGGCCTCAAGCGATTCTCCTGCCTTGGTCTCCCAAAGTGCTGGGATTACAGGCACCTGCCACCGCACCTGGCCTGCTCCTACTACTTTGACCAGCTTCCCCCTCCAAGGGGAAAGCAGCAGCAGGGGCAGGAGGGAAGGCAGTTCTGCTTATCCCCATTTATAGGGTACGCAGCTAGTGATGGAACCATCCTCTTCCCCCGTGCCACGCTGACCTTCAGAAGGAAAGTAAAACTTCCCAGCCACCCCTCAAGCGCCCACCTCCATGGGGTTTGGCCCTTACTTTCACCTTCTGCTCTGGCCCGGGGGGGTTATGGGCCCAGAGCCGAGGGGCAAGCCCAGCTTCCCAGGGTTCAGGATGCGGGTCAGATCCCACCTGGCCAGGAAGCAGGAACCGCTGCCCCCACCCAGGACACCCAGGACCCCTGGGCAGAGCCAGGTCAAAGCTCCTGAGCACAGAGCGCCTGCCCCCTGCCCTGCTCACCATGGATGCCAGCACCCAGCAGCTCAGAGCCCAACACACATGACCCTGCACCCAGGTTGGGGTGGGCGTGCTGAGGTTACACCCTCCATGCTCCCCAGTGGCACATTCCCATTGAGCCAGGCTCACACAGCTGGGGCACGGGCCTGCCCGAGCGTCAGAGCTCCCTGAGGCCTGGGGATGATTATTTTGTCATTTCAGTGGCTTCGGCAAACCTGTCAGGTTACAGAGCCCTCACTGGTGACATCATAGGGTGTCCCCCAATAACCCCCAGTTCTTATAATGGCCTCCCTCCTTCATCACAGTAAATAAAGGAGCCATGTGGGTTGGGGATTTAACTCCTTCTCCTCTCGCCCACGCAGGGCGCTGGAAAGCTGGACAGAAAAACTCCCGGACAGGGCGGGAGACCCTCCCACCCCATGCCCGGCCTGGACCGGTCCCTGGCCCAACCCAAGCACCCTCCTAAACTGAACAGGCCTGCCCAGGGGCTGAGAGACACAAAGGGAAAACAGGAGTACCCTGGAAGCCGCCTCCACACTGGCATCCTCCTCCAGCCCTGCCCCGCACCCCGAGTCCCCATCTGCGGCTCACACCCGCCCCCACCCCAACTCCAGGCCGGAAACAGCTTCTTCTTCAGGGGACAGCCGGCCTGGCCTTTGTCCCCAGCTCCCGGGGCCCCCCTCGACTCCAGGCTCAGCGCGGGCGGGCCGGGTGAAGGCTGCCGCCTGCACGAAGGGCCGCCTGCCAGCGCTCAGCCCGGGCTCCGGGCACTACTCCGAGCGGGGCGCGAGCCGGGGCTGCGCCACCAGAGTCGCCCTCCCAGGCCCGGGGCCAGGCGGGCAAGCGGTGCTGGCCGCTCTCTGGGCCTCCGCGCGGGAGCCACCGCGGTGCGGAGCCCCGGGATGCCGCGGCCTGAGAGGGGGTCGGTCAGGGCGCGGGGCGGAGCTGCCACGCGGGGGACCCGGACCCGCCCGGCCCACTCACCCAAACAGACGACGGCTAGCTGCGCCCGGGCGCCCGGCGCGCCCTCCAGCCCCGCGGCCGCGCGCTTCTCCATACCGGGCCCGGCCGCCCGCGGGCGCCGCCTCCTGCCCCCCGGCTCCGGGTCCGGATCCGGATCCGACTCCGGCTGCGGCTCCTGCTCTGGCTCTGGCTGTGGCTCGGGCTCGGGTTTGGGCTCGGGCTCCGGATGTCGCGGCTGTTGCGGCCCGGGTGCAGGCGGCGGCTCCCGAGGCGTCTTTGTGCGGTGGCGGTGCAGGCCCGTAGCGCGCGCGGGGCCACATCGGCCGCGGCGTCACGGGCCCCGCGGGGGCTCAGCGGCGGCCGCCAGGGAAGACCCCCGCCCGCCGCTGCCCCCGCGCCCCGGGAGCCCCGCCGCGGCCGGCCTGGGCCCGGGGAGCGGTGGTGCATGCATGCCTGTAATCCCAACTACTCAGGAGGCTGAGGCAGAGAATCACTTGAACCCAGGAGGCGGAGGTTGCGGTGAGCCGATAGTGCCACTGCACTCCAGCCTAAAGAAACAGAGCTAAACTCAACCACAAATAGATAAATAGCAAATTTTCTGGTTTCTGTATTAGGCGGCTGACGTTCCATCGCACGTGAGTTCCACAGGCAGGGCCTCTCCCAGCACACAGTAGACTTTGCTGTGCTTTGATGAGTGGATGCACAACAGGAGGGTGGGGACTGCCTGAATGATGTGGTGGCTGCCAGTGGTCTGTGGCTTGGGAACTGAATTGGTTGAGGCTTAACTCAAGGGGGATTGTGGTGTTGTGAGCAAGGACCCTTCCCTCCTTCATCCTGAGGCTGGCAAGCACGGCAGGTGCAGGTCCACGCCGGTCTTTGAGGGCTGGGCAATGAGGGGGCCCCAGGGGCACCTGGGGCACTCAGAGGGCTGGGTGGGCTGGGAGGGGATGCTGCATCCCCACCTGGGCTCTGTCCTCAGTCCCGGTCTGTGTGGGCAGGAGGTGAGGATGGGGTGCTTCCGTACAGCATATGGCCTCCGTGACAAAGAACTGTCACGCCACCTGCCTCCCACCGTGGCGACCTCAGACTGTGACAGACCAGGATTTGCCTCAGATGCGGGAGTGGCACACTGTGGAGAGAAGGCCCAGCCCCCTCCCCTGGGGTGGGGGCTGCTTCTGTCCCATGGCTCCGGGTGACACCTTAGTGGCCAGATTTCCTCTTGCACTGTGGGCCCTCATGCCCCCAAACTCCTTGGCCTGGGACATCCTGAGGCGCGGGTGGCACCCCTGCCTCAGGCCCCACCACAGACTGGTTCTCACGGTCCCTGCCCCATGCGGGCTCTCCGGGCCATGCCCCAGGCGCCACCACACCGCTGTGACACTCATCCTCTTCCCAGCACACGGCCACAGAGCCGTGTGGCCCATGGGAGGGTCCGGGTCCTGGGCAGAGGGCTTCTATGCCCTACCAGCGGAATGTGGTCCCCCAGCCACCCCTGCACCCTGGGAGCGCCCGCCCAGAGCACCCACCTCCACCCCCATGACCAACTAGTCCCCCTGGGGAGGGAGGCCTAGAGGAGGGGCCTTGGAGTTTCCACCCACCTCCTCCCAGCTGTGGCCTCACAGCTGCTGCTGTGAAAGTCAACCTGGGGCAGAGCCAGGAGCCCCAGGTGAACACCCAAACCCAGTGGGGAAGGAGGGCACCACAACCCAGCCAGAAGCTCCAGGAGGGCTCAGTCCCAAGGCAACACTGGTCTCAACCAGGCTCACTGCAGCTTCACACATGGGCATGGGAGGACCTCAGGAGCCAGGCACCCAGGAGCAGGCATGAACATCAGCCAAGAGCAGCCACCCTTCGGCTGGGAGCTTAGCCCTCCATCACCTAGGAGCCGAAGAATCAGGTAAAGGCCCAGGAAAGGGCTACTCAGAACCTGCCAACCAAGGCACGGGGGCACGTGTGGCCAGCAGCACGGGGCGGCACCAGGCATCTGAGACCTCAGACCAGCCTCACATGGCTGTCAAATGGTGACACCTCCACTATTCAGAGCTCAAGATAGAGGAGGGAGGGTCACCTGCCCCATTTCCCAGCTGTGCCACTCTCCGGGACTTTGCAGGAACTGGACAGAAACAGAAGATGTGGGTACTTTTGCTTCCCAGGCTTGCAGGGGGAACTGGCAGGGCCTCGGGTCTCTACCTCCCGTGCCCCAGGACCCAGGCGTCTCACTGCTGCACTCAGCCTGCCAGCTGGGAGAGATGGCCTCGTTCACTAGAGCGCCCTCCTCCACCCTTCACTCGACCTAGTCCTCTATGCAACGGAGGTTTCATAGGCCAGCTACCCACGGGGCAGGCTAGGTCTCAGCCAGGGTTGGGCCAGGGCTTAGTGGGGCTGAGGACAGGTCGGGTGACTCCAGGCTGGCAGCCTCTGTGTGTCTTCTCAAGAGCCTCACCCGCATGCCCATGTGGACCTTGGCTAGAGATGGCAGGCATGGCGGTGATAATATGAATAAGCACCCCCAGCAAAAGGCCTGTGTGGTTACATAAGTTCATGCTCCGCACAGTGTGGTGTTAGAGCTGGCTGGAGGCCTCTGGGCCCCCCAAAAGGGTTCTATAGGTGGGAGTTAGAGGGCCCCTGCATCCCCAGTGCCCTCCCCTCAACCTCAGTGACCATTGGGATTGGCTGCAGTTCTTCCCGGGAAATGGCAGATGAGAAGTTCTGATGTCCACCTGAAGGGACTCCCATCTCAGGGCGCAGAAGTTTGCAGGTAGATGAGATCTGAATGCCACACACAGCCAAGCGCAGCAACTGCTCCATCCTCCAGCTGGGACTCTCTATCCACCCCACCTCCGCTGCTCCTCCGAATTCGCTTCCCAGTTTATATGTATGGGCATTAGCATCTTCGGTGAATGAACACAGAATTGAAGGGCCAATTGAATTGAATTGAATTGAAGAAGTTCACATTCGTAATCCCAACACTTTGGGAGGCGGAGGCTGAGGCAGGGCAGTTGCTTGAGGCCAGAAGTTCAAGACCAGCCTGGCAACATGGCGAGACTCTGTCTTTACAAAAATTTTCTTTTACTTTAATTAGCGCAGGCATGATGGTTCACACTGTAATCCCAGTGACTCAGGATGCTGAGTCGAAGATTGCTTGAGCTCAGAATTTTGAGGAGGCTGGTGAGCTACATGATCTGCTCACCACCTGAAATGGGCAGACAGAGTAAGACCTTGTCTCTTTAAAAAAAAAAGAATTGAACTGAGTGTCAAGCAACTCTTACAACTTGGCTGCACTGTAATATTTATGAACAGTGCTTTTTTAGACGACTCAGGCCAGGACTGGGTGCCACGTAAGAGGAATGACTCTTATTGGAGCAGATGGGTAGGAGCAGGAGGCAGGGAATGAGGAACAAGGCTAATGGTGGATGCTGTCCTAAGGACTAAAGAAACTAGGCAGGAGTGGTCTGTTCAGCCAAGGGAGGGCACTTGGTGGAAAAGCTCCCTGAGGAGGAGGATACTGGGGCTAAGAAGGCTCCACTAACCTGGCACTGGGCTGAATTCCAGGGTAACTGCAGAGGAAAAGCACTGAGGACATTTGACATTCCAAGCAGCTGGAACAGGAGGCTGGAATTAAGGGAGGCAGAAAAGGCCAGGCACCAGGGGCCACTGGGAGTTGAGAGGACGATCCAGCAGCCCCCACAGGCCAGTGAGGATGCAGCTGTTACAGAGCAGCTTGTACCTGGGAGGATATTTGGAGACCAGATCCTGCTTGCATGTATGGGAGGGAAGATTTTTTGGCATCACTAACTCCACACTCACTCCAGATTAGAGAACTCAGAGTCAGAGGTCACAATAGTTTGCTTCTCTGGGGAAGTTTAGAAATGTGTGTCTCACTGGTTGCCATAATGGGATGCTGTAGTCATGGGGTCAGCAGGACTGCTATGTGAGGTGAACTACCACGCAAATTGCCCTGCACCCCACACAGTATCTGAATATAGCTGTCAACTGGGAACAATTTCGCCTCAGGGGACATTTCTCAGTGTCTGGAGCCACTGGGATTGTCATGACCTAGGGGCACTCGGCATTTAGAGGGTAGAGGCCAGGATGCTGCCGAACATACCTCATGTGGCCAGTGAGCACTGCCCTATGTCCACAGCATGAGGGATGAGGAACCCTGGTGAGGATTAAATAAACCCTATTGGTAATGAGCCTATCGAAACACACTTCTGTCTGCCATCTTTCCAGATGCACAATTTCCCAGGATGCAACGAAAGCACAGGCCAAGTGGCATGGTTGCCTGTTTGAAACTTGCAATAAAGCATTTGCTACTTGGAGAAACACATCCCCAAGATGGCAGGGTGGCCCCAGCAGGCACCTGAGCCCTGGAGGGGGTAACTCTTCTGCTCCCATCTGTGTCTGCAGCAGTGACACCTCACCAGAACTCCACATCTGAGTGCACTCAGGTCATGACCTGACCTCTTCCAACTAGTATTAATGTAATTAATCTTTATATGGAATACTTCTCCTTTTGATTTTCATTTTATTTAATACGGTTCTTAGAGACAGGGTCTGCTCTGTCACCCCAGCTGGAGTGCACTGGCATAGCGTCGTGGCTCACTGCAGCCTTGAACTCCTGGCTCGTGTGATCCTCCTGCCTCCCAAAGTGCTGGGACTACAGCATGAGGCACCAGCCCATTCATTTCTTCTTATTTTAAAGCTAGGTATTGAGATGGACTTTGAAGGACACAATAGAACTTGTCAGGATGGGATCGGCTGGTCATGAACTTTACTTTGGGGTGGTAAGGATACAATATAAGATCCTTTACAGCAGGAGAAGGGGTCTAGTTAGATGAACCGGGTTTAGATGCTCACGGGGCAGGATGAGAGGACCACCCCAGGTTCTTGTCTGCAGAACCAGCAGTGATGTCCCATGGCTAAGGGAAGGGAGGTGAGGCCTGGGAGCCGAAGGATCAATGCCTGGACCTCAGCGGGATGAGGCGGCACATCTCACCAGGAGGAACATCTGGGTGTAGGCAACAAGGATAGATGGCACCACAAAGTGTCAAGAGTGAGGGAGGCCGGGCACAGTGGCTCACACCTATAATCCCAGCACTTTGGGAGACTCGAGGCGGTGGATCCTTGAGGCCAGAGTTCAAGACCAGCCTGGCCAACATGGTGAAACCCCATCTGTACCAAAAACACAAAAATGGCCAGATGGGCTGTGCATGCCTGCACCCAGCTACTCAGGAGGCTGAGGCAGAATCACTTGAACCCGGGAGGCGAGGCTGCAGGACAAGATCACACCACACTGCACTCCAGCCTGGGCAAGACAGTGAGACTCTGTCTAAAAAAAAAAAAGTGAGGGAGATGGGAGGCGAGAGCCCAGGGCACTGCAGGGGCAGGTGTAGTGATGAGGGACCATGAAGTGGGACCGAGCAACT